TTAACGATCCAGGCCTATTTCAGAAGGATTCATATGGCGTCCTCGGGGCATAACAATGCTTATATCTCCTCGCCCATTTGAACCAACGGGCTGATTTTTGGCAAGTGAACGTTTTTCATCTTGTTCTTTCTAGAAATAGTAACCAATCCAATAATTTCACAAATTTACTTTTTGTGACATAATCACTTCTCTATTCGTTCATAACATTTTTCCTTTTCTGAACTAACCAGCTAGCGTCGACCATATTTGCAACATGTTTCTTTGAATCATACTCAGACTGGTCCAATAACTGCTAAATATGTAATGGCGGCCGCCTGCAATCTAAAGTGTACAAGACTATTAACTGTACGACAGGAAGATACTTCTCAATAGTTCTCAAAATTATAGGATTTCATCCACGACTTTACATCTATAACCACCTTGAAGAGAATAATATACAGCAACAGCACTGAAATGGTTAACTTTCTGGTGTACAATCAGCAACAAGATGCTTATTACAACAAATAAGGCAAGTGTTTTTGAGGCTTTTAACCCCATGATCGTGCGCGTGCAACAAAATGGCAGGCATATACCGAAAATTTAGCAACTAAAATATTGTTGTTAACTGTGTATTCTTCTGTTTATTTATCAGTGATTGAATGACAAGGGTTTGAATGAAGTTACATTTAGGACTGCAGACGTTATTTGAATACACTGATTACTTTACAAGTAGACGGAATGTACTCATCCCAAAACGTTTAACTCTGCACTCTTCAAAGGCCAAAATAACACTACATTCATGAAAATAATTACTAATTATTAAGCCACCGCATCATGAACGCTTTCTTTCATTGGTTTCATTGGAATGGTTAGGATTTGGTCTTCGGGCGTAAAACTGAGATCTTAAAAGGTAAACCATACCTAATACTGACTTGTTTACATAGACTGACTCTGGAAGTGACAGTGTTTTATCAATATGGACGTTCTGAATTGTACCGTGGCTTTAAAATTGTCATTTACATCTATTTACCTTGCAGACAAGCTTGATTTCTGAAGGACGTATCATTTTATGAACTAAAGCACTAGCAGAGATTACCCCTCATTCTTAGTAACGTGAACGTTTTTAGGAAAAGAGCTTCATAAAGAAAAAAAAAAGGGTTGTATTTAAAACGAGTTGGAGTATTTCACAAGTTTAAAACCACGACAAAATAAGTGCAAACGAGTGGTCAGTTATAGGCCTGATAAATTAAGAAATGTTGGACTGGTCTTCCTTGAATAATTTAAATATTATTTAAGCCGAGAATCAGGAAGCAAATTTTAGTAGGTATTATTTTCGTTCATGAATTATTTCAGTTAAAGTACCGTCTAGAGACTATATCCAGAAAATTTTCAAGGTAGACAATGTGTTAACTACCAATCACCCAACTTAATCATATGTTGCATCTGAATTAAGAAAATAAAAGTATATTCTTTGTTCAGGTGACAGAAGTTGACTTATTTTATGCACGTACAGTGCAGCTTTTTACCGAAGGAAACTTAACCTCGCATAAATTCAAACTTTTTGTTCTTGTAGTTAGACATGGTAATCTCTGAATGTGCGAATTAAGTTGTACAGATATGAGGTAAAATAAAAATGAAAGAAAGACTTAAATGCATAAAGAGGGCTTGTTCAAATCTTGGTACCTCACCGTCTGAAGGGATCTACTGTATTTAAAGAGGGTTTCCTGAATTAAACAAATAATCCAAATATTAAAACACAAGTCTTTCCCGACCCATTATCCAAGTGTCCACATTTATATAAATCTTCTGTGAACCATATCTGGAATTCGTCCCCTACTGATACATGCAAAGGAGTGGAAAAATTATCAAACAGCAGCTCTAGTGAGTCAGCGGTTTGACCTGGAAGGCTGTAATGGAGTTTGTTACAGTCAGGTGATCCTTCCAGAAAATAGTCGTCTTTTGGAAGAAGTCGTACACCCTGGGAATTGGTTATGACAGTTCCAAGTTGGCGATCTGGAGGTACATTCGGATGAGTGCAACCCCAGCGTGATGACCATGGACGACGCGTGAGATGTCTAGGTGAAACTACATATTCGAACTTACAATCGTTTAGTGGACGCTAACCTCAATGTTTCGCAGGTAAAGAGTCGGCTGATGCTCCGAAACAAACTGGAGAAGTTGTCATCTTCTTCCAGTGAACTGAAAAAAAAAAATGAAAAAATAAAAGGATAACCTCTTTTCTCGTGGCTTTTTATTTTATTCGGAGGCCTCTTTGCGTCGTAGGGAGGCTGAGGAGCCGAGGGGAGAAGAAAGCGCGCGGAGGACGGTGGGAAGGGGATAGAGCCTTTTCCCTCTTCCCATTGCCCACCGCGCGCTTTATACGTCATTCATTCTTTCCCAGTAAGAGCCTCCGCGGAGGATAGTCATGCATCACGTGTCCATCTCAAAGAAAATGAATAAAATTATGTAAAAAAAATGACACAGTGAATGAGTAAATTAAAGCAGTTGAAATACGTACTTGTCACCTTTTGAACTAAACTAAACGTTAATTTAGGTAATTTAGGTTAGGTAGTTAAACTTAGCTGTGTTAAGGAGTGTGTAAAATGGCCCAAGACTAGAACAGAACTTTTAAAGCGCTAGAATTTAGAGATAAATATTAAGCTTATTGAAAAAAACAAAACAAACCAAACAAAAAAGAAAGCATCGACACTTTAAGAGGTCACCTAGTAAATTTAAAGGAGCCGTATCACAACGGCAGAAAAAAATGGATAACGGGCTTATGAACGACGAAAACTGATTCCTTTGCACTTTCGTCATCGTCAAATACTTCTACCAGCAAAAGATTGAGTTCATGGTTCATGTTAGAATTGTTTCAGAGCCTTGCTCTGGTTTGTCATTTTTGGGTCAGATTTTTAACAAACTTCCAAACGTGACACAAGTTGACATAATTGAGGCGGGATTGGTTTCAAAGGATTTGAGACATACGGCAACTGAGGCTTACCATCGCAGTGCTGTCCCGAATATTCTGGAAGACAAACACATTCGTATTCATCACGATCGTAGATCGGGAGGCAAGAGCCCCCCCGTTTTTGCATGGATTTCCCATGCACGGAGTCTAAAGAAGAAATCACAAAGCATAATTAATTCTGGATTTTTTTGCTCAGAAATAATGAGCCCTCCAGGAATAAAATTCTTTAAAAAGGATAAATTAAACATTTTTTTAGTGCGTTTGTAAGTTGCACAAGGATTTAACTCATCGTGAACAAACTTAACGCACAAAAAAAAGGATGTTAAGATTTTCTCACCTTGATGTAGTAATGCTCAAATTCAGGGTCATGAATAAGGCTGTTGGAATGTGTAAACTTGTCTTTTCCCAGCAACTCGCAGACCTGTTTCTTAGCATTAGAAGCAGCAACATTTACCGAAAAGCACTCGTGGTTGCGCACGCATTGGAAGGTACATTCAAGCTTGGGAATCTCTAGACTGGCGAGCTTCACGGCGTTCAGCTTGACCGACAAAGCTTTTACAAAAATTGCAAAACTTACTCCCTGATTTTTACGTTTGAAATTTTGAGCATTAATAAAAAAACTCGTTGAACAAACGAAAATAATTGTTATGAAAAAGGAAATGTTGAAATGTACTGCCATTATTGCATATAAGCCTTCGCTTTTCTTTTATGTTTTTCGCGTTTCTTTTATGCTTTCTTTTACGTTTCCTTTATATTTTGTTGCTGTGTCCTTAAGTCATCAATAATTCATGGTGCTAAATAACTTGTGAGATTTTAAGCAGCTTTGTACATCTGGATGCGATATGCTGCAAGCAAAGGCACGAACAACAAAAAAAATATGTTTCTGCAGGCAGGCAGCAGACGAAATTTTTACATATTGTCCGAGAATTTTTCTCTGGTTTCAAGTGTTAGAATTTTCGATCACAGATAGACAAAAAAATTACTTGAGAAACATCATTGTTAACAAATGCGAGAAAGTTCAATCGGATTTGACTTTGTTTCAATTTTTTTCCAAGCAGGGCTAATTTCATAATAGTAGCAAAACGTTGGGGAGCCTTTGTAAGAATCCTACTTTCCAGTGGCTTTTTGTAATTCACATCTATGCTAGCGTGTGGTATGAAATCTATTCGGAATAGAATACAGCATTATGAATTGAACGAAAGAGAAATCGTGGGTGACTAATTATGAAACTGTTATGGCAACGCACGATTGTGTGCGTAATTTGTTACCCATGTTATGGAAAAGTAAACGAAGGGTATATATTCGCGAAATTAGAAAACAAGTTGTAACATATTAAAATAACATCCTATACTAAGCTTTCTGTCCAAATAGTTAACATCCAGAACTTTGGGATCTATAGTTTCGGGCTCAAGCCTGACAGTAGAGTCCACGTTTCTCAACTTTGTTTCATTTCACCCAGGTTGGACCCAGCCGAGTGTGTAATAGATGCTGGCGGACATTTTGCTGCGGTAGTCTTGATTTATAGCCACTCGTCTAGAGGTTGCAAGATAGTTATCCCCATGTGCTAGAAGCTCTGAAGAGACCGGCAAGCTACGAGATCCGGTAGGCTGGTCCCTGTGAGCTCGTGTGCACGTGCCACAAAGCAAATCTTGTACCCAGATCTCCCACGGCCAAAAGAATGTGATCTGGGTACAAGATGATATCTATGCCACATTCTCTCGGAACAGGAGCCCATGACCTCGTAATCTCCTGCTCGCAATAATTTCTCGGATTAACCTTTTTACTTAAATTCTAACATAACATAAGTTTTCTGGAGGTTAATGGCTAGCCTCCCTGGCAATCGTTTCGTTGAGAAACCTGAGGAGTAGAGCCAATGGCTTTGATGGTTGCTTTAGATGTTTTCAGGCTTGTTTGGGCTGGCCCCTGCGGTCGTGCAAGGCGCACGACTATGACTGTCTAAATGGTCCATTCGTGTTCCGTAATACTTCTTTGTAACTATTTGCCGGGCCGAGTAGGATTATGGACCGTGAGAGAGTCTCTAATTATGAAACATCTATGCTACACCATGCTAGAGTACTAGTGTTGCTTGAAATCCTCTCGGACTATATATTTTCTCGAATAATCTCGCGGATTACATATACATCTTTCTCTTATCTTATCACTCAAAATTTCAATCGCTTCTTGGAAATTCTTTAACTCTTGGAAAGACTGAACCCATGGCCGACTTAAACTGTACTCAGTAATAAACTTATTCCTGTTCAGTTGTAAACAAACATTTAAGGCAGGGTTTCCTTGCTGAGCCGTTAGAGACCTCGCCGATGTTTTCCGAAGAAACGAAAAGAAAAATAAACAACGTTGTGGGTACAGGCTAGCCTTTTTTCTTTAAATACGACTTTAATTACAAGAGTCTGCTGGCAGTCTAGAAAGGGATTCCTAGCAGTATACGTACCCTTAGAAGACCAATCTGGACATGGCTTAGGCCTTTATTACTTGACCCCAGGAAGAGACTATACTACCAGCGTGCATAGAGTTTTAAAGTGATGACGTCATAAAAATTAAATTGGTGAAATTATGGAATTGATTGAAATATTTTGAAAGAACAACATCTGAAAGGCCTACAAACTAGTATTGTGGGGCAAATAGGCCATATGCACGATGATGTCATCTTACTGCTACTACCAGAATCCTTCAGGGTATTGCTTTCTTATGCAAATTACGGCTTTTTTTATTTAAACCTCACTGGGATTAGCAAATTTAAATATGAAAGAAAAAAGAAAAGGAGTTCTGGTCCCGGTAGCAAAAAGACGTCATCGTGCAATTGTCCATTGTCTCGGAGATACTAGTCCCGTTTTGCTCTGATGACTCCTTCCTTCTAAATTTTACTCGATTCTTAATGTTATGAAGTGAGTCAGAAGCTAAGTGAGTCGAATTTAGAAGGATTTGTATGAGTCACAAGGGTACTACTGGGCTAATATCTCAAAGACAATTTGCCCTGGAATGCTGATTTTCGGCAAGTAGGCCTCAGTTCGGTGTTGTCCTTCATAATATCTCGAAAAATCCCATAATTTCTCAAATTTAATGTCTTATGACGTCACTCTTTAGGACTCTATGGACTATCACCCTCGTCCCAGGGATTTCAGTCCTTATAAACTGGAGGGGAGCTCCACAACTTCCCCCCCCACACTTTCTAAGGAAAAAGCCGTACGGGAACGAGGTTGAGAACTATACTGCGATTTACCTAAATTGCTGTCTTCTAAGTTGCAGCAACAGGTCGCAGCGACAAATCACTCCGTATGTACAGGCAGCAACACGTTGCGGCGCGACAAATCGCTTCAGTATTGTGTACTAGAGAATTATTGTGAAAATCTTGTCTCTTATGATTGCAACAGAATTTTGCGCCGCAACAAGTCGCACAAATTTTGTCTGATTTGGTTTCTTGCGACATGTTGTTGCGACCAAATTCTTTCGCAGAGACGAAGATTTTGACAAAAATACCCCAATACCCACGAAGCAATTTGTCGCTGCGACGTGTCGCCGAGACATGTTACTTCAACTTGTCGCCTAGTGCGTACCGACCTTAATTGTAGGGGGTATCTGAGCAGGAAAAAAAAATATTGGCTTTCGGCTTTCCGGTACTGAACACCCTAAGTAAGACTTAAAGGAAATATAAGGGATGGAAAGTTCTAAACCAGGTATGTGAAAGGGGTACCATTTGTCAATAAAAGGTAAAGGTAATGGTAATAAAGGGGTGTCTTTTCTGTCAAAAAAGGTATGTAAAATATATGGCAATTCCCAGAAGAGGAGTTGAAAGTGGTGTAAATATATATCGAGACGCGAAGCATCGAGGTATATATCTAGCGCTGTTTACCGACCCTGAGGGGGATAGTTGTTTTAGTATTTACCAAATCGGTTGGATAAAAATGAAAAAAGTAACTTTTTGTAATTTAAAAGCGTCACTTAGTAGGGACTTTATTTTCAATTTACAAACATTTCGGGGATTTTGTCAAGTGCATTTTTACGATTTTGTTACAAAGTCAGCATGAAAATAACCTTCTACCTACTAGTAAACACCGAAAAGCCAAAGTTCGTCGCTTTCTTGGTATCTGTTTGTACGACTGCTTCATTTATGGCTCAAATTTTGTCTTTCGAAAATGTCTCGAAACGAGATGCAGTTCACACCACTGGGCTTGAAGACGAATAACGATTGTAAACAGTTGTTACATAAGTATATTAAATTAACTTGAAACTTGAAATTTGAAACAAGCATCCCCGTCTTTTTCCTGAGAGTCATTTTCAGACTAGTCCCAACAGGGCAAACACACTTTTGTCACGTTTTGCGCCGTCATCGTTTTCACGCAGGGGCGGAGGTGCCTATTTATGAGCTATACCTAACCTTCTATAATTAGACACCACATGACCTATAACGATCAGTTATATTGAAAAGCCACTCAGTAGCTGCGCATTTGTTAGGGAAGGGCTGAATATAGCGTCGAGGAACCCATCCAAAAGGCCAATATGAAGTCTGCTGTTGTTCTTGCAGTTTTTGTGATATTTTGTTGCTGCGATGCCTTTGGTATCAACACAGTGCCATCTCTGAATGTTACCCAATATCTTGGCCGCTGGTACCAGGTAGTTTAACGAAACGTAAATGTGTGCTTGAAAAACCTTTGTATCTGTGTATTTAGGTGCTACACAGTGTACTTTAGTATACGTGAGGAGTTTGAAAATGCTCAATTCAAATTGCTTGCAATCAATGTTTTATTTTTCTGAGCACAAATCAAACCACTGCAGCACGTACGGTTACGTAATACATGGGTAGTGTCACGAACTGCAAATTTAGTAGATATCACAATCCCTGCGATAGAGTGAGAGCTGCCATTCATTCTGGAGATATCAATATCGATGGTGCAACTTTAGAAATGTGTTTCTGGTCTCTCCGCTAATTTGTGATGATTTCATACAGAATGATTCTCAGCGAGGATAAGAATGTCAATAATCACGTAAAATCCTATCTCTCATGACACTTCCAGAGAATTAATCCCCTTAATGTGAAAAGCTAAACCGAGGAGAAACTAAATCATTCAGAAAGGGTCAATTGGATCTTGAGGACAGAGAGTTTGCGATGAATTTATGTATAATTAACAATAAATATTTCAGCTCAATACGGCGCATCACTTAGTCAAGAAGCGTGTAGAATCATATCCTAGGGGGGAAGGAAGTGAATCGCTACAATAACGTGAACTGCCGAGAGGCGCCCGACACCCGGGGAAGGGTGGGGACAAGGCCTTATTTGGCCTAAATAGAGTATGGTTTTTGACCTCTTGGATCTTAAACAGGCTACAGATTTTCACTCCTACGGTATATAGGACTAGGCGGGGAAGGGAAGGGGGGGGGGGATGGGCGTTAAATGGTTATAAAGATGTTTCTTGTCCTAAACAGGGTAGCGAAACTTTTCGGATTTTGTCATAAACAGGGCAGGGGTTCATGGTGTCAACGGCAAACCCCCGTCCAACTTTCACTGAAATACCACCCGGAGGATTTTACTAATTGAGGTAAATTAAGGGGCAGGGAAATCTGTCATTATGGTATTTAAACGGGCGTTTAACAGTTTAACACAAATTTTCGAAATGAAAGACACCTTCCGGTAATGCTCCCGCAATATCGTTCATCATTTTTCAGGGTTTTGAAAAGGGCTTTTAAAAGTAGGAACTTGAAAGAGGCTCCACTTTACAATCGAGAAGAGCAATGAATATTGCTTCAAGGCATACCTGTACTATGTTTTGTTTTTGCAGATGTATTCTGATGCCGCAGTTATGAGCACGTTTGAACGTGATGCTGTTTGCGTGACAGCTGATTGTGAGTAGCCAGCTTGTTGTAGCCAAAGTGTGAGAGAATGGAATTTGTGGTAGCCTGTCACTGGCCTGTGTACGCCTACCTCTCCCCTTAAAAAAGGCACAAAGGCTGGGATTGGGGAGGGGATGGTATTAGAACACTAGTGCTGAAATAGCTTGATGACAATTTGTATTTCCTGTTTGAACACATCGGTATACTATAAATTAGGGGCAGCTAGTAGGGACGACTACATTTTCTGAAGGGGGCCATAAATGGCCTTTTCTTTTCCGAATCCCGCTACTATTTCATCCATTTCCTTTCTTTTTCTTGGTCTTATTTGGTGTGCTGATAATTACCAAAAGTCCACATTCGGATGATTGACCTTTGAACAGCTTCATCTGAACTTGCGTCACCGACGGGTAACCGCGATCAAACAGAAAATCTAACTTGTGAACAGAATACGTCTAATTAACGCTTTTCACACTAGGGTTTTCTTTGGGGATAATTTTCTCTCATTTATAAACATATAAATACTTTTCAATGTCTCTGAAGACGCAAGGCTCATAACTCGAGCTAACGTATAATCCTTCATAAGTGCGTCCTATCCAATGAAACGGAACATACACCAGTCAAGCAAGCATTCTTTGCTCTACCGACTATCCAAACAGAGTTTGTTTCCCACGTAAGCACTGATTTATTTGCTTATTTCTTAGTTTCTTTAAATTATGTCGACAACTAATCCTATCTTCTTGGCTTTCAAAAACCCCCCTTAAATCACCTCATATATATTAGTGGCCTGTTTTAGGCGTTCAGATAATTGGGTGCGACGCGAAGTTAAGAAAGTGGGAAAAAGTAGAGGTGGACTGAGGAGAGCTCTAGATTCATCTGTCCAAAAGTAAGGCGGGGGTTTTAACTGACTTAAAGAGCATAAATAAAGATTTTTTTTGTCCGCATAAAATGTTAGAAGGTTCTGAATTCACAGCAAATATTCTGTTTGAATTCGTAGCTCTTGCTTTTATCACAGACACTTCAACAGCGAAATTAAGTTGTTAAACGCATAGCTTTCCACTTTAACTATTTATCACGTGATCCCTCATGGGCAATAGGTAATCGAAGATCGCTGGTATATATATTAAATGGTAGGTCGTTTGACACCGTCTCTGTTCGGTTCAGGTTGTCTCCTTCCAACAAAGAATTAAATGTGGAGGTTACAAATCGTAACATTGTTGCTTTTGTTTAGATTCTCTTCGAAAAGACGGCAAGATCGGTGTCCTGAACAGTGAAAGGCTCAAAACAGAAACTGGTGAAGGAAAGAACATAACAGGATATGTCTACATGCCCGACCCTAAAGAACCAGGGAAGTTGATAGTGCACTTGGAAGGAACTCCTTTTGACGCTCCTTGTAAGTAGAAATAAATATGCGTCTTATATTAACAGCCTAACTTGGAAACGAGCATACGGCTCTAAAAGTTTTTTGGAGTTTGACTTTTCAAGAAAGAGTGAGAAATCAGTTGCCAACTCGTGAGAGCGTGAGTTAGGTCGTGAAGTCGCGAGACTGTGGTTAGTCTGTTTTTCGTTCCCAACCGACGTAGCACCAACTTTCTCCTAACAATATCCATGATCATGAGAAATAGTTATCGGAATTAGAAAAATAGAGACCTTTAGATTCAAGGACGAGGACGACTACGAGTACGAGATTTGACTTCAAGTTTTTTCGCGTCTTCTCAAACTATAGACTCCCCGGAAAGCTTCATTTTACCATTTTTCACCAGAAAAGTTAGCTCTGTTACCTTTAGTGAAGGAGGTTACACCCTCTCCCGATCGCAAAATGATGAAACTTCTAACATTCGATAACTTGTTTTCCCCACTTTGACAATCCGCTAAATCTCGTAGTAAAGTGACGACGGCTACCAAGTTTTCCCGCCAAAATGACGTTGGTTCACGCGCGAGCACTACTTAGCACTGAGATAATCTCGTACTCGTCTTAGAATCTAAAGGTCTTTAATGATCACTAAAGGGGCAATGCTCTGATCCTTATCAAGTTCTCTCACCTAATTCTTTAAGGAAATGAAGGGAGATCACTCTGGAGAATCTTTTGTTGTTACCGGGATTTACATTCGAATTAAGGGTATCGTAATGTATGTATAAGGTGTAGTTATGTTCGTGGACTCAAAACTTAGAACTATATGACTTTCAAGGAAAAGCAACGGACTAGAATTTTACAGGGTTCACAAACTGTTGGTAAGGCAAGAAAGCAAAGCAATGCCCNACTCCTTTTGACGCTCCTTGTAAGTAGAAATAAATATGCGTCTTATATTAACAGCCTAACTTGGAAACGAGCATACGGCTCTAAAAGTTTTTTGGAGTTTGACTTTTCAAGAAAGAGTGAGAAATCAGTTGCCAACTCGTGAGAGCGTGAGTTAGGTCGTGAAGTCGCGAGACTGTGGTTAGTCTGTTTTTCGTTCCCAACCGACGTAGCACCAACTTTCTCCTAACAATATCCATGATCATGAGAAATAGTTATCGGAATTAGAAAAATAGAGACCTTTAGATTCAAGGACGAGGACGACTACGAGTACGAGATTTGACTTCAAGTTTTTTCGCGTCTTCTCAAACTATAGACTCCCCGGAAAGCTTCATTTTACCATTTTTCACCAGAAAAGTTAGCTCTGTTACCTTTAGTGAAGGAGGTTACACCCTCTCCCGATCGCAAAATGATGAAACTTCTAACATTCGATAACTTGTTTTCCCCACTTTGACAATCCGCTAAATCTCGTAGTAAAGTGACGACGGCTACCAAGTTTTCCCGCCAAAATGACGTTGGTTCACGCGCGAGCACTACTTAGCACTGAGATAATCTCGTACTCGTCTTAGAATCTAAAGGTCTTTAATGATCACTAAAGGGGCAATGCTCTGATCCTTATCAAGTTCTCTCACCTAATTCCTTAAGGAAATGAAGGGAGATCACTCTGGAGAATCTTTTGTTGTTACCGGGATTTACATTCGAATTAAGGGTATCGTAATGTATGTATAAGGTGTAGTTATGTTCGTGGACTCAAAACTTAGAACTATATGACTTTCAAGGAAAAGCAACGGACTAGAATTTTACAGGGTTCACAAACTGTTGGTAAGGCAAGAAAGCAAAGCAATGCCCTTGCCTCCACGATGCACTGCTTATGGCAGTCAGTATCAGTACGTACAGGTTGCCCCGACGTACGTACAGGAAGCCCAGACGTACATGTACTGTATGCAATACCAATAACTAATAATACAGTATAGACTGGAAAAAAAGAGTATCGGAGCTAGAATCGTACATATTAGACTGAAGAAGAATAAAAAATATGTAACAGTTCAAATGAATACACTTTATCTTTTTTTTATCGGTTTTATCTTTACCCTGCTTAAGTTTCAACTGACATTTCCTCTGTTTCTCCTCGAATTAGACTCTCAGTTTGGTGCCGCTAAAAAATATCTGAATATCTCCTTGCTTTTCCTGGCCTTTCCTGCTTTTCCTCTCATTTTATGTCGAGTTTCGCACTTGGGTAGACGCTACATAAAAATCTACCGCGAAAATTAAAATAGAATGATATAATGGTAAAGTTGTATCAGATTTGAGTGTTACATATTCGTTGAATCTTCTTCAGCCGAATAAGGTCATCTCCAGCTCCGATTCTCTTTTGCAATTTATAATGTATTATCATAATTAATATTAAATGTTAATGTTAGTAGTATTATTACTTCTACTACTACTACTACTACTACTACTACTACTACTACTACTACTACTACTACTACTACTACTACTACTACTACTACTACTACTACTACTACTACTACTACTACTACTACTACTACTATTGCTACTGCTACTGCTACTGCTACTGCGACTGTTACTGCTACTGCTACTGCTACTAATACTACTACTGCTACTACTACTACTACTACTACTACTACTACCACTACTACTACTACTACTACTACTACTACTACTACTGTGTACAGACACGTTAGTATTACAATTTGTCTCGGACATTCTTTTCTCTCCACAGACTGGATTGTTAAGCTGGGGCCTGCATCGTTCGGCGAGCAAAATGAGTATCAGTACGCTGTCGTCACAGACAACATGCAGATCCAGTTGTACGTGCTGGCGAGGGATGTCAACGACTTCAGAAGCCAGTATGATAAAGAAGTATTAAGCTGGCTGGCAGAAAATGGCTTCACGAGGATTTACAACAAGCCTGTAGCAACTGTACAGAACGAGAAATGTCTCTACCCAGACAAAAAGTCTCTTTATCAGTCGCTCGGAGAATTTCTGGAACAGAAGTAGATCGCAGTGGTTCCTACAGAACGGAGAGGACTAGCGGATACCAAGTGACGCTTGAATTCCAAAACGTAGAACGCAAAAAACGAAAATACAAGGTGTCTAAATCAAGCAGACAGTTTTGACATTTAAATATTTGATGAAGGTGATTCTCGCTTAAGGAAACAAGGAGGAGACTTAAAGCAATCGTATTTTTCTTATCTGTAACAAGCTAATTAATTAAATAAAAAAGATGTCGCTTTATGTACCTGGTTTATTTACGGTATGACTAGTGAAAGCATTTGCCCGGGTGGGGGGGAGGGGGGGTACTTTAGGAATACTTGGGTGGGGATGTGCCGCTGGTACCCTGGAACCCTTAACTTATACTAGCTCAGCTGAATTTTGCTACCCTACACTAGAGTAAACTCCCCATATTCACCCTATCCTAGAGTAGCTGTTTTCCAGAAACTACCGAGATCACTAAAACCTTCAACCAACTGATCAGTTTCCTGAAAAAAAAAAAACCCTTTTCTAGACCCAAATTCTCTCATTTATATACCCTATCCTAGAGTAAATTGCTTGAAAACCATACCCTTCACAGCGGCACATACCAATAAAGTCCATATATGGCAGGAGCCAGGGCATTGGCCTCGACATGTACATATTTCTAACATTAGTGCATTAAGACATTCTGAACACTCTCTTGCTGGATTCAATTTATATGGAGCGGAATTAGATTCAAGTGATTAGTTTACATCCACGAACTCAGAATTTGGGTGTTTTTAGTCTGTTAGCTTTGGACCATGCTCCGCACTGGGTGGTCTCCCCACTACCGAACCTGA